GGTTGCAAATTAGCTGTTGTCATAAATGTAAAAGAAATAATAGTGCTGCACCCTGTTGGTAATCCTTGTAACTTTAATGCTATTGAACATCATAGAACAGAACCAACTTTGTTTAATTGAAACAGCTGTTAAGATTCAATAATTCCATTTCTCATAAGGTTAACATGGGAAACTCCAGAGCCACTGGGGCGGAGCCCGAAAGGATTTTGAAATAAGAATATGCCTATATGTTAATCGGGAATGTGAGCTATCATCATGCCAAATTTCAGCCCAATCCGACCAGTATTTTTCGAGTTTACTTTTCCCATACACACATACACACATACAGCAACCACCTCTTTTTTATAATAGTATAGATAGAAGATGGCTGCCATATTTTACTGTGTTAATATAGAGACCTATATTTTGCGTTGTTAGTTTTCTTTTATAATGTTAATAATTTTCTGTTACCTTTAAAATGAGATGTCACTCGATGGGGATTATCTTTACACATTTTTGAGTTTCCCCCAAAATCCCCCATTTTAGGTTTGGGAACTTATGAGAATTTCAATTGGCTGTCATTTTTTACTGAACTGAGATAGAGACCTCTAATTTGCGTTGATGATTTTCTTTTACCAGGACCTTCAAAAGGAGGGGTCACTCGATGGGTCTTTGTATTTGAAATATTTGAGTTTCCCCCAAAATCCCCCATTTTGGGGATGAACACCAAGTGGCGGTTGTGCCCAAAAAGTACTTCATAACATGCCATAATGGTGTGCCGAGTTTAGTTTTTCTAGTAAGGGCTGTTAAAAAAATAACAAGGGGTCTCCACACTTTTTACTAACCCTGTATATATGTGTGTCCGTGAACGCGATAACTTGAGTAATTTTTGTCCGATTTTGATGAAATTTGGTTTAAAGGTGTAAAGCATGATAAACTTGAATGAGTTCGCAAACCAGCATGATCGGACTATGGGAACGGGGGTTTATGGGGGGTTTTATGGGGTAAAAATGGGGTTTTTCCCATTTTTTACCCTAAAAACACAAAATTTTACAATAACTTTCCAAATCATTTTGTAGAGCTTAAAGAAACAAATAATTTAGTATATTGAAGCGTTATTATGCGCCTTAGAGTTGCGGAGAAAATTCAAAAAAATTTTAATTTTAAAATTCCCATGCTATTCTTATGGAGAATAAGTCAACTGTTGTAGTTTGCTTATTTATGAACATATTTTGATCAAATTTGGAAAATACATTAATTTCTTACTAAACTACAGTACCTAGGCCTATTAACATTTTACATTAAAAAACAATTTTTTACCCTCCCTGTTGCAGCAAACCTCGTTAAACTAATTCTATTTAAATAGGGAATAAATGTGATATATTTAAGGAGACATTTTAGTGTAAATCCAATGAGTCAAATGGAAATTCGCTAAGTCTGTAGGTTTGCTGCGGCGGGGGTATTTAGCTTAATGCTGTCCGTTAATATCTGTCAAACTGAGTATGCGTGGACCCTCCGTCAACGGTTACAACGTTACATTACAAGGTGTGGTGTGGTGACCGGGAACGGGAAGTAACGTGATAAGTTCTCAAAACTGAAACTGCTACTTTGAAAATAGCAGTGACAGCTTGTGTGCATGCGCGACAGCTGCACCTCCTCCTTCGAATAGAAGGTCGTGTTTCACTTCGGATGCTCCGTGTTCCGTTCCGATCCGATACCAATTCCACTGTCCCGGGCGAGGTGGTGGGGGGTACCGAGTCCTGATTGAATGGAGTCGTGTACATTATCAAGTAAAAAATACCCCTGCCGCAGCAAACCTGCAGACTAAGCGAATTTCCATTTGACTGATTGGATTTACACTGAAATGTCTACTTAAAAATATAACATTTATTCCCGATTGAAATAGAATTATTTTAAAAAGTACTTAGGTTTGCTGCATCAGGGAGGGTAAAACTGTTTTTTTTTTGTAAAATGTTAATAGTTAGTAAGAAATAACAAATTTTCCAAATTTGATCAAAATATGTTCATAAACAAGCAAACTACAACAGTTTATTTATTCTCCATAAGAATTATGGGAATTTTAAATTTACAATTTTTTGAAATTTTCTCCGTAACAATTAGGCGCATAATAACGCTTCAATATACTAAATTATTTGTTTTTTTAAGCTCTACAAAATGGTTTAGAAAGAAATTGCAAAATTTTATGTTTTTTGAGTCAAAAATGGGAAAAACCTATTTTACCCCATAAAACCCCCCATAAACCCCCGTTCCCATGGTCCGATCATGCTGGATCGCGAACTCGTTCAAATAAACGTAGGTTTACACGTTTGTACCAAATTTCATCAAAATCGGATCATTTTTCTCGAGTTATCGTGCTAACGGACACATACACACACACACACACATATATATATATATAAATATATATATATATATATATATATATATATATATATGACTTTGAACAAATGGTGTTTTTGGCCTCTATTGACCTCAAAACGAAAAAAAAAATCGGTCCCGCGTCCAGATCTTACCATGAGTACTACGGTAATAGCTTATTCCCTATATGGGAAATTCGCTAAAAACCAAAAATACACATCCGTTTCAATCGCGGATTACTCCTCTCATACTGCGCATGCGTGAGTAAACCGTTCCGTGGAACTGTGACATATATCAGATATCAGATTTATCTGCTACAACGTGTACAGTCTCACTCACACAGTACAATGAATTGAATATAGCACGGTTGTTCCTTTACTTTTACCAACTAGTCTGCGCTTTGTTAGCGAATTTCCCTATAGGGAAGTAGCTATTACCGTAGGTCTCATGGTAAGACTTAGGCCCGGGACCGATTTACTTTTTCATTTTGATATCCCCAGAGGCCAAAAACACCATTCGTTCAAATTTTTATATATGTATATATATATATATATATATATATATATATATATATATGTGTGTCCGTGAACACGATAACTTGAGTAATTTTTATCCGATTTTGATGAAATTTGGTTTGAAGGTGTAAGGCGGGATAAACTTGAACGAGTTCGCGATCCAGCATGATCGGACCATGGGAACAGGGTTTTATGGGGGGTTTTATGGGGTAAAAATTGGTTTTTCTCACTTTTGACCCTCAAAATACAAAATTTCCCAATTTTTCTCCAAACCTTCTTAAAGAGCTTAAAAAAACAAACAATTCAGTATATCAAAGTGTTTTTGTACGGTTATTGGTTACGGAGAAAACTAAAAAAATGGTAAATTTAAAATTCCCATGTTATTCTTATGGAGAATATTGTAAAATGTTGTCGTTTGCTTGTTTATGGATATATTTTGATCAAACTTGGCAAATTTATTTATTTTATAGTAAGCTATCAATATTTTACTAAAAACACACTACTTTATTAGTTTCCTTGTAGCAGCAAACCTAGGTACTCGTTAAACCTAATGTTATTTAAATAGATCAATTAAAAAACCAATTCAGCCAAATGGAAATTCGCTTAGACGGCAGGTTTGCTGCGGCGGGGGTATTTTTACTTTAGTATACTTTCTGGTTCTTGCTTATATGTTGGTTTATTATTTTAGGATCTCATGTGCAAGTCCACCCCGTCACTTCACGGTAATTTTAATATTGACTTACTATCCTAAATTGCTGCCTTTTGGTTTGAAAGAATCTTACTGCATTTTAGATCACCACACCATGTTCTGAGTCAGCTATATCACCATTAAAGTACTATATCTGTGATATCACAATAAAAAATTATGGATCTAGGTATCAATAAAAACTTGAAAGTAACATACTTTAAAGCTAGAAACATAATTTGTAAATTAAACTTGAATATTAATAGATTATTAGGCGTATACCAAGCTAGCCTAGACCTATCTCAAAATATCTACACTAATATTATGTTAGTTATGCCAGTTAAATATTTACAAATTATTGATACTTATTTTATAGTTTGTGCTGAAACTAAGTACTTGATCGCTCGACACTGTATGTTCGGGTCAGGCCTGCATAAAGTTAAATTAAACTCTTGTTTAACAAATGTAGTGACATTGACTGTAATGGAATAAAGCGTTTGGAATAATAAAAGGAATGTGAGAAGTTAAGTTAGGTTCCTTTATTTTGTAAATTTGTAACACAGAGGACAGAGATGAAGTTGGCCTGATCTAACGGACGGTTTCAGTCTAGCTGTCAATGTTAATTTCAGAATATACATATATACGTATATGTTTACCATTTTACTGCATCTAAGTTATCTTCTTGCTTCTTATGTATCCAAATGGCCGCGAGTGGAATTGGATTGGATTGGATTTTCAATATTACCTTACCTGTGTCATCATCAATGTACTAATATGGGTTGGTTAGGTTAAAAGTAGAAATAAAAATGTATAGAAATTTTACAACTAAGGAAAATAATAACCTAAATTCCACATTACGGTATCTAGTATATAGGATCTATATAGGTGAACCCTGTTTTTTCCTTCCACCATGGGTGAACCCTAGTTGAGTGAGTTGGCGTTGGCTTTGTTTGACTGGGAGAACAAAGTGAGGTTAACCGGTTGCAGTATCCGTTCCTTCCATCGTCATCGAACGCGTGTCACTTGTTACAGCTCCCATAGTCCCATGGAACAGTTTGTTTGCGCATGCGCATTGGAGAGGAGTAATCCGCGATTGAAACGGATGTAAAAATACAGACGTCAAAAACTCCTATTTCAAACTACACATCCACAGAGTACAGATTTTGCAGTTTGCTCGGCCTGCGCAGCGCTAAAAAAAGCTTAAAAATATCGTTTTGACATGAATCGTATCGCTCTATGTATGTGCCGATATAAATACAAATATCGTTTTAGGTGATACGATACGTATCGTTTTTCAAATATCGTATCGAAATATCGTATCGTCCCTCGCGTATCACGATATTCCGATACGATACGATACGTATCGCACTTCACCAGTTCGAGTGTTCTCTTCTCTTCTCTTCAGTTCTTCAGTTCAGTTAGTCTCAGTATTCTCAGTCAGTCAGTAAGTCATTAAGCATTCTGATGGACAATGATTAGTCTAGGTCTACTGCTTGAATAGATAGTGAAAGTGTAGTGAATTTGCAATTGATAGTAGGCCTACATTAACCAAGATTCCGGTGAAGCTGAAGATAATAACTTGGTCTAGCCTAGGATTTCGCCAGAAATGGCTTCTGTTACAAATGTGAGTAGGCTATCTAATCTGAGCTTTTTTCTTAGATTGTTACTTAAGCTAGGCTTATGACTATTAATCTGGTGGGGTACAGTTTCTTAACTGGGCTATGCTAATATATTGATTAATCATCGATATTTTTAAATATATCTAACTTATTATAAAATTAAACTAGGTAGGCCTATCATAACCTAACCTAACCAACCAAACTTGCTGATGGTGAAAAAAAATCGCATGATTAATAATCGAATCGATAGTGTCAATCGATATTAGCATAGCCCAGTTAAGAAACTGTACCTACCCTAGAGAACAATTGAAGCTTAAATAAAAACAATGCAGAGGATACTCGTCCAGTAACAGGACGTGGATTAGGCGTCCGGCAGTTACTGTCATAACCTAACCTAACCAACCAAACTTGCTGATAATGAAAAAAATCAAATTAAGGTTCAATTCTCTTCATAACATAAAATAATAAATGCCAAAAATGTTGTACAGTTAAGAAGAAATTTCATTCAAAGCAAAATCTGTGACAAAAAGTTAAAGAAACCGATGGGTTTTGAACCCTTGGATATCAGCCGAGCACTCTATCCACTACCCTACACCACGATCAACGCTGGCCAAACATCGTATCGTTGTGGTAATGGCGTTCCGGGACCCCACAACCCGGTGACGTCTCTACCGGACGCCTAATCCACGTCTGGTTACCGGACGCGTATCTTCTGTGTAAAAACAAACTAATTAGCCTAAATAATGCAAGGCTAGACTAAGCTAACCTAACTTAAGATCTGCCTAGAGCCTGTATATAAGTATGACCTATCATCAGTTTAACTTATAATGGTAATAATGGTAATTAACTTAATAATAAATTACTAAGTAGGCCCTATTTTGAACACTTTTTCCATTTGACACTTTTGGAGCAAACGCCCCTTTCACCCTGAAAATCGCATTTGAAAAGTAAAAATTGGAGTTTTTATTTACTTTTAAGTTTAATGTGTTTTTACTATTAACTTAGGCTACTTAGAACATTCACTTTGGTAAAAATTTTGGACCCTGACCCCAGCTTAAAAATCCTTCCTGAAGGGTGAAATTGTGTAAAAAGTTTATAAAATGAAGTTTTGGAGGATCAATTTAATTGGGGGGAAAACAATTCCAGTCCCAAATATTGACTGGAATTTAAAACCAACCCTAACCACAGTTCCCAATTTTACACAATTCCACACTTATGTTGAATTCACTAAATCGATATGAAAAATTCACAAAGAATATGCACTCTACATATAATTTACTGCTGTCTCACTCAACAGGGGTGCCCACAGGGGGGTTTGATGTTGCATAATGCGACATCTAGTGATGTGGGCCGGGTAAATACCCAGTGGGTAGGTAAATATAAATTGGGTATTTACCCGGGAATTTACCCCAGGCCCGGGTAAATACCCAAAAACTGGGTATTTATAATTTTTATTAAAGTTAGAGAAGATTGAGATGTTTTTTTGCAATTATCACCCTGTAAGGATAGTAAAATGATGATAAAATGTGTTAAACAAAACTTCATATGGTCCCTACTAGCATTTTACTTCTGGGTACAATCGCCATAAATACCCAGGTCTGAGCATAAAGCATAATCAGCATAAATACTTTGGTCGCATGGTTGCACAAGTCCTGCCTACTTATGATTTTTTAATTTATATGATAGATAGATGAATCTATTTTATTGAAAGTGAAGAAAAATAATTTGCAAAGTAATAATTATTATTTATAAATACATGAAAATTTAACCTAGTAGTGGCCTAGGCGTGTAAATAACTTAAGAAAATAATTAAAATTCAATCTGTAGGATGGCAGGATTTAATAATATTTTTGTTCTATATCTTTTGTTGGCATTAATGGTATCAAAATTAAAAAAAAACTAATTTCATAAACTTGTGATACAAAACATTTAAATCTAAAGCAATATGAATCTTTCAAAATTATATTAAGTTAGACCAAAAAACAGGAGATTCATTTTTTTAGTAGGTTTATCGGTTTATCCAAATATATTATTGTTTCCAACTAAGCGGTAACACAGAAAAGTTTAATTACTTTTAGTATTCTGCCATTCTGCCTTAAATATTAGGTCTGTCTAGCCTTCCAAGCCATTTTATACGATACAAATTTTTAACTATCATAATTTAATAACAGTAGAAGTAGGTTTAGGTTCACTATTTCTCTGATGAGGTGTTGTCTTAATAAAAAACGAAACCCCCATTCTTATTTAAAAACTTAATGTTTTATTAAAAAAAAGTGCTAAATCATTAAATAAAAGGTACTAGCAAAGCTTCAAGTTACTGTAAAAGGTGTTATAGACTATCCTAATTTTTCATGTAATGATAACAATAACATATTTAGGGATGAATATAAATGAATTTCAATCGATTTCATAAATACCCAAAATACCCGGGTATTTATGGATTTTGGGTATTTACCCGGGTAAATACCCAGGGTATTTACCCTGAGTTTTAAATACCCGGGTATTTTACATCACTAGCGACATCAGTAAGTTTTTTGGGGAGGATTTTTTTTAAGACATTAGGATTTTGGGGGGAATAAAATATTTATTTCCTTAGCTTGTTTTACAGTCGACCTCTTGATTTTAAGCTATTTATTACACTGTTATTGTTATAGGTATTTTTAGGTTTCACAGTATGAATGTATAGTTTTTGTTTTGTTTCTTTCAACTTGCGTCATCCAGGCGTTTTGCAATTCTAAAGCTAAAATTGAATAGGCCCAATCACCAAATTGATAAGTTCACGTGCCTAGCGCTAGTGGCAGTGCCGGCGCTACCCACCATTAGCAGTCTGCACAGTCAACTAGTCACGCTGCAAAGCGTTGATAGACAGACGTCGTTCTAACCGCTAAACAGGTCAACGAGCAAAACACTCGATACTGTGTAGGTACTTGTTCTTGGTATTTATTCCAGTTGTTAAGTTTTAAGTATTATGTATAGTTCTATAGGCCTAGACTTATTTTGTTTATTTTTTTTTTTGTCCTAGGACGCTAGGCACGAGCCTGGGTTTGTTTTTCACATTACTTCAGGCTAGACCTAGGGGTTGCAGCATTATCAATAAAAATAAAATAATTGTATTTTTGTACTTCTAATAAAAATCAAGGAGGGTTTGTTAACCTCCCAGCTTTCTGTGTCAGCCAGTTGCTTCACCATGGAATAATCCGTCAGCATATACCTTGTATATACTTTCAAGGATAAAAATATAAAAAAAATTAAAAATCTTGAAGCAACCACCTCTGGACCACTTGGAATGAATTGACAAAGTCAACAACAAGTTGACAAAGTCGAAAGTTACGACAGATCACTCACGATAATACTCACGTTAAACACTAAAGAGGTAAGAGCCGATGTAACGCGTGTTTAGCACTCTAGCATGTTCTCTCATGTTAGGAGTAAAAGCACACAATTTTAATAATTTAAAACAAACAGATTGTACAAAATAATTAGGTTACAAATGCTATGCCAAATCTCAAAGAAAATGCATTTTCTTAATTTACCGGGGCACATACTGGCCGCTCTCTCGACTTTATGGCATTGTGGGGGGGGGGGGGGGTTCCACAGACCTCTCGTCATGGGTCCTCTAAATACTTAGGGGGGATTTTGTGAAATGGGTTTTGGGAGGGATGGGCACCCCTGACACTCAAAGGTAACCAAAACCAGCACACACGGAGAGCACCATGTCTTTAACTAGCCTACAACGAAAATTAAAATCCCTTCGTCTAACAATTACATATTGATTCCCATATATTTCACCAGGAATCACCCCGTTTCCTATATAATGTCCGAGCGCGACTTTCCGACACAATCAGAATGAAAATTAATCACAAATTTGAGCTACCGTATGTCCGCCTTTGTCACGACTTCACTTTGAACTAAAAACATGGAGTCATGGAAACAGTTCTAAACAAACAACTAACAAAGAAACCACCAGCCAATTACATTACTGCACAAAAGAAACCATCAGCCAATCAGAAATCTGCACAATTACATAATCTGTTTCACCATAAACAATAGCAATGCAGGATACGACAGAAAAACCTCCCCTAAAAGGAAAGCTAATAAAAACAAAACCATATAAGGTAGAACATTTTTATTTATACCAACTAAAAGTACATATTCTGCCATTTTAGAAAATGTACCATTCTTAGGGTTGTGACAGGTAGCCGAATGAAACAAAGAAAATGCGCTACGAATAAATAATTTATTTACTTATGATAAAAACAGTAGTAAAGTATTTAGCTATCGACTTGCTGTAGGAAAGATGAGTGATTAGTCTACCTACGTTTAGTTTACAAGCACGATACTTATTAATGGTCACCAATACTAGCTGACGATTAAGAAAGAATACAATTTGGATATGAGTCGCTTAGTTGCTTGGATTTACAAAGTTAAGTTACAGATTTTCATGTTAAAATACATTTTAGAAGAGTGAGGGAAAGGCGACAATTTAGATGACCGACCGAGCCGAATTTAGAATTTAGACTAACTCAACTGAGTGCGCTCTGCCCATAGCCCAGAGTTGGGCGTGGAGGGGAACCAGCCAATCGCGTTGCGGCTATGCCGCGTGACGTCAGTGCAAGCCCCGGACAGTGCTGCTGCCTAACGATTCATCAGGGCATTAGGCAAACTATAACTGCGCATTAACTGATTTCATCGAGCGACTTGCTTAGCTGTATCAGCAAATTCCAGCCATGCGCGTTACACTTTCCGAGAACGTTGGCCGGCTTAGCGCTGAGCCATCCTGACGGATTATTCCATGGTGAAGCAACTGGCTGACACAGAAAGCTGGGAGGTTAACAAACCCTCTTTTTATATTTGAAATAAAGCAAAGCTTTTGTGACGGTACTGACAGGGTTTCAAGAGGGTGTAACAAAAACCTCCCCAACTGATATGTAATGGGTCTGGGAATTTTTGGGGCCGTCACAGGGTTTACCATTAGTCTTAATTTTTGAATAAAACATCTCTTAAA